TCTCTTTCTTGTCGAAAGTATCGTCTTTAATCATTGGTTACTGATCCAATGATTAATTTCCATAATCCAATGATAAATTTAATTTAAAATAATGAAAACAATAAACAATTGGTTCTCAAGATTTGCGAATTTCCCAGCTTCTTACGCGCTTGTCGAAATCTGCAATTCGTTGCAAAGGAATACACATCGAAGAATGCATTCTTGGAAATCGTATGTTACCTATCTTCTACGGATACACCTTTTTAACATTCCCATGACGGAATGTGTATAGTAAATATAAATAATAGGCGCTGTGGACACATTTTGCAAGAAGACGTTCGCTACTTGAGTCGCTAGTTATTACAAATAATTTGGTTAAGATTTGTTGAGATTTGTGGATCGTAATCGCCGAAATAGATATGTAGTGTTTGTTCGACCAATCGCGGGGAGACGTAGTCGCTAGGAGAGACGTCAACGGGAGTCGTAAATTCCCGTTACGATTATAACAATCGACACCACGACTTGATCGATCCCCTGATTTCCGTTGAGATAATAGGGGTGATTGAGTTTGTATAACACTGTGATTCACAGAATTATAAATTATATATTTCCAACACTTAGATTACACTGATGAGCATAGATAGATAGATAATCACTTATCGCACGAAGATAAGATAGATATGTACGTTAGAGCAGAGCTCTTATAATTGGATTTAATGTATTAGTGGACGTGGCACTATAAGATATTTAGAAGAGGAAATGTATGCTCGACAATACCGAGATCGACTCTCGCGTTATGCTTAGACTGCTCCGATAGGCATTAGCGTTAGACTTAGTAGTTGACTTTTCCAACGATGTAGAAGAAGTGAAGTTGAGTGATGATGCTGTGTCGGAGGAAAGCTAGTGATGGGTGTGTCTAGCGCACGGGATCATCGGATTTGTTCATGCCATTTTAGGTCAGGAAGTGAGGGCAGTATACATTGCCTCGGATTGGACAAACGAAGGTTGGTGGACTAGGAAGGGTCTTAACCGCCCTCGATAGAAAGTTGCTAGTAGGAAGCATCGTACGTGAGAAAAACTAACTTCCCCGTGTCAAGCCGTAGTAAACAATAGTCTTTGGAAACTGATTTAGAAAAGACATTTGTTGGGTCTGAAGGACCTTAGTAGGCAAGTGACTCGGGTTTATGACGGGTGCTTAAGGCTATTGAGGGTACGCCGTACGGAAGAGCGGACATCTAGTGTCCGTCTGGCCCGCGGTGTGTGACCTGGGCCAGGCAGAGAGTTGCCCGGCGTAACATGTAGGAAACACTTTCATTACGTATAGAGATGATAATAAAATAGTTTTGTATTTATTTAAGATATGATTTATACGATATACATGGATACCCATTACACGTGTTTCAGCACTCTTCCAGTCTCACTTTTACCATACACACGGAACAGTGATATTCTTTTCTTCTACGAGACGCTGCGCACGCGCATACTCACATACATACTCACACACGTAGTCGCGCACATGCATGTACAACACTACTGCGCGGCTGATCCGCTGTAGCACACAAAATTAAATATATCTCAATAAGATTCATCAAGTAATTTATAAATATATGATACAAGTTATCGCCAATTATTTTCGATTACCTCGGACTTTCTCTATTCTGTTTCCTTTCAGCGCAATAAATTTATGTTTAGAGAAAAACATTTAGATTGCTATTACGTATCATTATTTATCAGTTGATTAAGAAACCCTGAACGAACCACACCCTTTCTATCCATCCCCTCTATCGCTCTTACATCCCTTGTCTTTCGTGCTTTCCTTTAATTATGACAGCAGACCATAGAACCCAAATAGGCAAAGAGGAGGATTCTCGCGCTGAAAAAGCTCGCGTAATCTATATTTTCGACATAGATTACGAGAAGCGAAATATAATATATAAAAAGCGTGGCCGTTAAATATTAATCGACATCGGCGCACAAGAGCAGGCCGCGTTGAATGAATAACGTAAATGGATTTTCGCCGATATCGTTCGCATAAATAGCGGACCTAGTGCAACGAGCAAAGAGCTTGTCCGCTCTGCGTGGCGTGGCGTCGCGCGGCTACTGGCGGGCGAAAATAAATTACGCGATACGATCCGCGGCCAGGAGGGATTAATAAAAATGAAGGAAAGATCACGCCGGATCATCGTTTCGCGAGCTCGCTAAGTAATTAGAACGATGGGCATTGGCGTCCCTCTTTTCGACGAGGAAATTGTGAAATTTCACACTGGAATCGCTGGCCAAAAATATAATTGGAACCGGCCACCGTTCAAGCTGTACAGAATTGCGAATTTGTTCATGACCGCGATATAATTCTTCCTCTCGCTCCTTTCGACAGAGCATCAAGGTTTGCCGTAGTATTGCCGTGTATCGTTCTGAGTTGTCGCGAATTACTCGGACTTTGCCATTTTGATTAGCGTTTTTTTCATAATTGTAGTAATCTCCTTTTAACATCCTCGTAGAACCAATCTAAATTAGGTCGTTCTATGAGCGATGCGGTTTCTTTTCGGATCGCCGTTAAAAAATAATGAAACTTGTCACGATAGGAATTTTATAAAGAGGAAGAAATGATAAACCAGCGTAGAAAATCAGATAAATTATTGACATTGTATAGATTATACTCACATATAGACGTAGGTAATTGTTTTTATTTTCATCTTATATACAATATCGTTCATGGTCTATTGGCATACTTTATTCGATTTGTAACAAGACATAATTACAACTTACATTTATTATCTTCCTGTGAAGCCGAAAAACTATTTTAAATTGTCTATTAAAAGATGTTGAGAATACTTACATTTCATTTGTGTGTGTGTGCGTGTTTGTGTGTGCAGGCGATAGTGCTAATGCTTTTGTTCTCATTGTCGGTAACATTCCATGTGTAGCAAAAGAAAACCTTATTCATTGTTCGAATAAAATCCACTCACATCACACATGGCACCATATTGGGACCTGACTTTTGCAAAAGATATAGCAACAGTATTGTGCGTTTTACTATTTAGTATACACGTCACTACGTACGCCCACTGTGCTATACTTTGCCAATTTGAATTTTAAGGATAACTCAAAAAAAGATTTTTCTATTAACGAAGCGACGTATCTCATTTTCATTCCTTTGTTACAGATCATCAAAGTTTAATTTCCTGGCGAACAATCTTTAATTTTTAAAAATGAGTTTCAACAACAGGTTCATAGAATGACGTTCTTGGTCCAATTTTCTTCAGAGGTTTTTGTGAAAGAACATAGAGGATCCTCTGACAAAAAGCAAGGACAGAATGTATATTATGGCTTCAAACTTCATTGATGGAGCATTTTCATATTAGGCAGGATACATCTTTTACTTTCTAAAAGTGAATATAATTTTATCCAACCCTTCCTTTTTATTGAATTGGAAAAGGGACGGCGAAAACAAGATTCCATTCGAATCCTATCTCGATGGTTCCAACGAATGCATTGTACAACTGACTCAGCTGTACCTACATCGACCTGACGATACGAGAATCATGCTCTTTACGCGATATTACAACGTTTCAATTAATACTAAAAATAATTTGCTACCTCAGATTCGCCATTAAAGCTCGTGTGAATTACATAAACATTGGAAATTGCATAATTGGAAGGTTAATGCGTTTACAAATTGCTATGGATGCGTTTAATTATCTCTCTCCATCTCTCTGTTATCGTCGAAACCTTATCCCCCTCCTCAGTCTTTAAAACAAAATCCATATGAAAGTCTACATAAATCGGATTAAAGTAACAGTGAAAAAGTGGACTACAGCGATAAAGTTATTTTACTCGAGGGAATCGAGCGGAAATTTTGATTCTTTCGTTGGAACTAGTGTTCTACGTGCGATGTACTTGGGTTAACACCATAAAAAAAAAAAAAAGAAAAAAACGTCACGAATGCGTTTAGTCGTTATATTTGCTGGTTAAATATTGGACATTTAAATAACGCAGGTTTCGCCTTTTTTTCGTTCTGTTCCATTTTTCTTTTCCTTCCTTTTATTTTTCCGTCCGGCCCGTTTACAAAAGAGTTGAGAATGACGGGCTCCCGGCGGCACCACTCTACCAAAATGAACTATAAATCCGCGGTCACTCGGTTCACCATTTTGTTAATGCAAAACGAATTACGTGTCGTCGACAACGGTGACGTTCGCCGCGATATACAAATGAAATATACAATCGACGAAAGATCGACCGTGAAATCTTTGAAATTCAACCGCGAAATCGTCGAATGAACCGCATAGAATATTGAGGAAAAGAAAAATGGACCATTTAAAGCATTTTAATTCGATTAAAAATAAGAGAAACGATAGAATTATGGGTATAAACATGCAGCTTTGCTCGTTAATTCCAAGCTCCTCTTTTTAAATACCGCGATTAGTAAAGCACAGTCTTTGTTCCAAATATCACTTAGGACTGAGCCTGTACCTTAGTTGTACTAGAACTGCGTGTTACAAATTATTTCCGCAAAGCTTTAATAATCTTTGTCTCGCGTTAGAACAGAATATTTCTTTTCACTTTCTCTGAAATTATCCGTTAATTATTGCAAGATAAAAGAAGATATAAACACAAGATACTGTGACTTTACTTTAATACTTTCTCATAAAGAATTGAATAATGCACTGGTAGGTGTATTAAGAAATATCCATCCCATCTAAAAGATGTCGATGATCTTCAAAACTCGAAGAGGTGTCTTTAACAGAAGAAAATTCTGAATAACAATGTTCGTCATGTGAAAGTAAGTATGTCTCTCTTCAACTATCGATATCATTTATAACAAAGGGACAGCAACAACATTTAAATCGCATTTCTGAATGTGAAGGTTTCATATTCAAAAGTACAAAACTATTACCACAAATATTACTTGACTATGAATTTACAGGTTGTTTAAGGAGGCGCAACTGTCTCTTTATTCATTTCTTCTATTAACAAAACTAGCCAAGAGGAATCTAAGTTAAATACAAGACACGTACATTCTACATTCTACATTCAAAAATTTACCCAAGCACCAATCATATCCGAGAACATCCTGTTTGTCCGAGAAGACTGTCCTTCGCACTGGGCACAAAATTGCAGGCAAGACAAAAGATCCACGCAAGTTGGTTGCACAATCATGCGGACTAAGTTGCGTCGAGAACGGAAGATTATGTGGTGGTGTGGTTCAGGTTGAAAAATCAGCGTGGAACGGGCGAGCAGCCAGGAAAAGTCCACCAGTGAAACGCGGTCAACGTTTGCACACGCATACGAATGCGTTCAATTCCTGGTTACTTTGGCCTTAGAATTCGAGCTCGTAAATGGAGTGACGGCAAGTCGGATAAAGATGGCCGCAATCCTGTCCGCTCTGGTGCGCCTGCTCGTAAGCTTGATCTTCCGATCGTTCGAAACGCCCGCCGTCCCTAGGCAACCTGTAAGAAAGGAAAATAGGATTTTAAGGTAGCCGAATGGAACTGACGAGACGAGATTGCCTCGTCGAACGAACACCGGCTTCGATTTCAGACGTCCTCGATCTGCTTCTTTCTATGAAAGTTACCCGAGACAGATAATTCTCTTATCTTGTAAATACGTTTAGGTGTTGGATTTTTGTTTTATCTGTGGAAAAGTGGAAAGCTAGGTGTGTGAAGCTTTGACTAGTTGTCAATAATCTTTTTTGTAAGAAGTAAAAATATGTCGCGATTGTTGACAAAATTATTATTCGTATTTATCATATATTTCATTTTAATATATGGCACAAACTTGGTGGTATCTAAATGTAATAACACAAAAACTGGACGACTTATAGACCATTCTAATATCTCACGAACAATCGGTAATTTGAGTGAATGAAATTTAAGAGTAATATTTTCGGCTGATATTTTATAAGGATACCAGTGGATAGTAACGATAGGATATGATTTGGAAATGGAACACGGTGATGATGGTGATCTATTTGGAGTAGCTAAATCGGTTCGTCAAATGGTGGTTAACCGATTTCATGGATCCGGCATCATTCGTAACTCAATCGTTTCGCTTGATTAATCCCTTTAATTGATTATATGCCGACCAGCCAGACGTTTCAGTCTCATAGTCGCTACGATTTAGTAACTGTTCGAATTAGTCAGATCGATCTACCTTGTCATTAAATATACTAGTAGTTATTACGTGCAATAGAAGCACGTACACACAGGACATCCGCCTTTTTCGCGATTCAGTATTTCGCTTAATATTAACGTAAATACTTCAATGAATATTAACGATGTAATTACTATACGTTATCGCTGCTTCGTGTCACATTCATACGCTGCATTTCCTATTAATACAATTATGAATATGAACTGCAGTTTCGATAGCCATTATCGATCTACTTTTTATAGAAATGTCGTACAAAGTATTTTTAAAGTGAAGATTTCAAGTGCTTAATGAAACAATGTATATATTTATATAGACATTATCCAGAACCATAAAATATCAAGTTGACAGAGATGAATTAAATAAGATACTCACGTGAAGATGGCGTGCAATAGCTCTTGAACCAGGCTCCCTTTCCCAAGATCCGAAGGGTTCCTCTGGGCGGCCTCGCACAGAGCTTTCAGCACGCAAGCTCTTCCATCCAGGCCAGTGCTGTGGATAAGCTTTTATTTAAAAACCTCACATTTTTACAAAGAACGCGTGAAATCAATATTTCCGGTAATGGGGCGATAAAACTGATACAAAGTTCTTGAAAAGCTACGACGAGGAATATCAATCAAGTTGTCTGTTCGCCCCAATGACGTTAATTAAATTTCTACACGAAGGATAACGTTTCTATGAAGTGATACTTTGTTCGGGAACTGCTCAACAGTATCTGTTCATAAAACGAAACTTTATTAAAAGAGAATATAAGAGCGCGCGGAAACAGAAGAAACCGGAAAATTAAACGATTCTACGGTATCATGATCCTTCTCCTGAAAACTCCATACTCACTGGAAGTACATACTCTTCCGTTGCAAAGTTTTTAGTTTCTATTTTTTTTTTTTTTTTTTTTTTTT